TATATATATATATATATATATATATATATATATATACATATATGTTATTGGCTAATATTATTAGTGAGTTCCTCGGTTATTTGTTATACACCCTGTTCTAGAAGGTTGTTTGTTGAATCAAACCATTATTGTTTCAATGGCTTTTGGGGTACTGTCCATTCACCGTAAAATTGCCCAAAGTCAGCAAAAAGGTAGTAAAGCACACTTACTTTGAGGTGTGTGCAGAAGGTTCCTGGATGATGATGATGATTGCCGCGGTTGCGCGGTAGTTTATCGCACGCAACCAACCTGTGTTTGTTTTACTTGAGAGATGACGCTTCCGCGCAGGGCATAACTGGGACATGTATTTTTCAATTAGGTGGCGTCAGCCAGCCTTTAGGGGGTGGGCAGCAACAGTGTTGTATCGTTCCACGCTTTCACACCCAAAAACCTCATTTGGCGGCATCCCCTGAGCCATGGGTTAGTTAAGGATGTCGCCCAGCCTTCCTCCTGGGGGCCGGACACCATACCACACAGAAACCTCTGCATCACATTCGTCCTGTGAACCGGCTGCTTACACTTAGACTAAGGCAGTTAACCTAGGTTTGTTATCCCTGCGAAATATCACGCAGATGCCTGGTTGCGACGAGCAATCCAGGCTGCTATCAAATCTATAGTAAATGGTTAATTAATTCACGCTACAGAGTTCTTCTACCCATACCCGCCCACCGTGACGCATACGAGACTAAGTGTGTTAATCCTAGGTTTGTTATCCTCGCGAAATATTTTTCACGGGAAGCCTGGTGCGATAAAGCAGTCCAGGCTGGTCTATTGCACCTAATGGTTATTATACTATTAGTTCATTTGCGCGTATAACCGTTCACAGTGATCACAGTGACGCGAGACTATGTGTGGTAACTCCAAGAGTACTTTTGTTGTTATGGCTGGGAAGAAGTCTGTGGATGGGTTGGTAACAAAGGAACCAGGCTGGCAGTAATGTATCACGAAGAATTAAGGCTTGTTAAGACATACCCATAGTAGAGTAAATTCACATGTCCTCGTTGAAAATTTCGTTTTAGAAGATTAATTTTATTACAGCTGAACGTGAGTAAATCATATATCCACAAATTGTAAATCATCGTGATAGTTTGACAAATAAAATGTGAGTAATTATTTGCCCGTATTCGTGATCCTTATCTTATTATTCTGAAGGTAATGACTGATTGGTTATGACATAGTATAACCAATAACTTAGATGGATGTTGAAATTAAATGAATCATTAAATCATCATTTATCAAGTATAAATCATGGAATGTCGAGGGTGGAGGAATCTCACGAGATACGCCCATAATCTCCTGTAAGTAATCAGTGGGAAGGTATCGGACTTACTACATAAAATAAGAAATACGTACATATTATTATCTTTATATAATATAATCCACTCATCACTTACCGATCCACCCCAAACCATGATGACAATGATGAGGAATTAGAATGGGGGTGGAGGAGAAGGGAGAAGAGAATGCATTGGGGTGAAAGAGAAGTCACCCCATGGTGCCATTTCACCCATAAAATTTCAGTTCTCTTGGTAATTCAAGATTATTTTTTTTTAAATCAACACTGCACTGCATTATATATTTGTCAATATGTAAAAATAAATTTCAAAATGACCAATAATTTGACTGGAAACACACAAAAAAGTGTTTATGTTAAACAGTCTTGCACAAGATGTTACTTCCACTAAAAGACACAGAGACTGACGCCTTGCATGGTGTGTTCACAGGCTGCTTAGGCTTAAAAACTAGTTTCTGTACTTAAATTATGTTAAATAATTGTTAAATTACTAAAAATTTAATGCAAGATTTTTAAAATTATTGAATAGTACAAACTTCTTTGATATTTACTGAAATATGAATTTGGCCCTAGGAACTGGACACTGTATTGGCGGACTAATATGACAGCTAGTGTGCAAGCTTCACATGTTGAGGGGCCAGGAGGACTTCTGTTAATCGAGAATGCCTCGATAAACTTCAATTAAGAATCTCATGAAGGTAATCATATATATATATATATATATATATATATATATATATATATATATATATATATATATATATATATATTATATATATATATATATATATATATATATATATTATTATATATATATGATCACACACATATATATATATATATATATATATATATATATATGTATATATTATATATATAATTGTGTGTACCATTGTATACAAACAAATTCTTTATTCACATTTAAATGGATGTCATCTAACTCAAACATTGTTTAGTAACCTAAAAGGAATGTTAAAGACTGGCAAACAACCTTTGAAGCCTTAAATAATTTCTTTTAAATATAGAAGCTCTCAACTTACGACGGGGTTAGGGACCCAAACCAGGTCAAGTCAAAAAATGCTAATACACATATAGAAAATTTAAAATGGGTGTCTTTTTCTCAGCACCACAAAACTCTCACTTTTAAGCTTGCCAGTAATTTTTAAAGTGAATTACAAAATTTTGTCAGTACATAGCGAATCACTGGACGAGGGGACTCGAAAATACATAATTTGACAAAATTTTGGTATGACTGAGGCGGCCGATGTCCGCTGGTTGTAGGTCTATATATATATATATATATATATATATATATATATATATATATATATATATATTTCATGTAGCTCCACAATGAAAACGTGGATAAGATAAATCTTGATAAAATCACACGGGGAAAGGGTAACGTTGTACTTCATGAAACGGACATCTTGCACTCTATGGTGGTGTTAACATTAGAATTTTTGCTAAAGCATTAAAAAAAAATTTGCTTACTGTTATTAGAAACACTTCACTCCTATAAATCAAGTGGACAAAGAAGATATGAAATTATAGTGTTATACCAGCACCACAGTTCAGTAAATATTTTGAAAGCGAAGCACAAAACTTATTTTACTTATGGAAGTCAAATTTGGATTTAGAGATCATGACAAAGTTACTTAATTCTCATTGACCTTACTTTCCACTGGAAGAGTTTGTGAGAAAAGTTGGGAGTCCCTGGTCCTTTACTAATGATTTTCTGTTTACACACAGCTCACCATCACATGACATACTTCACATTCTTTTATATATGTACTGTATTACTATAGTACTCTATTTCACTGTCTTAGTGCATTCTCCTTTAATTGTCTTTTTATCTTTATTTTTTAATTTACTTCTACTTTCTTCTTGATACACTTGAAACAAACCTTATTCCTCCCATACAACTGTTATTTTCCAGCATAAACAAACATAATATATTATGTCACTTTTCTCTTGAATCACAAACCACAGTGGAAATCTCTTGTGAATAGCCTGAGCTTTGGTAATGGATGCAAAACAGAGAATGATTGGGTCTGAGACTGCAGGTGCAACTCTCTTGTGTTTGGGTTGAGAAGAATGTTGTAATTATGATTAATGTTATGTTACAATGTAACATAAGAAGCAATAAAATAAAGGACTGAAGTATGAGATCTCCTTTTATGGATGGTGGAAAAGGACAAGTAACATATGAGAACAACCCCTACCAGAATCTGTCAGCAGGTAAACTGTCTTGTCATGTGTGTAAGTTGC